TGCTTCTGCGTGCCATCATCGTTCTAGAACTTACTGTGCATAATCCTGTTCATCCTTCAACACCAGTTGTATCAATGGCACAAATTCTTGTTTCGCTGTGCACCACAAACCCTGCAGTCCTAAACACCAAAAGTCGAATCCAGCCCTGTCCGCATGTTTAGATTTCGAGGGCGCGTCACCTGCCCCCACCAGCAAACAAGAAAAATAACAATACCACAAATAACCCTACACTCTATACCTCTAAACCCAAAACCCTATAAAGCCTAACTACATCCCGAAGTCAGAAACCCTATAAGCCCCAGTCCCACACCCAAAAGGCATCTTTTCTTTCCGCTCTTCGACATCGGCGCGGCAAAACCGCAGCTCGGGGTTCGCAGACTTGCGTTGGACCGAGAAACGCCCGGCCTACGGGTTCGCAGTACACCGGGAAAGCAGATTTATAGGATTATATATGTATGTATGTATGTATGTATGTATGTATGTATGTATGTATGTATGTATGTATATATACATCTATGTGTATATATATATATATACATACATACACATACATACGTACAAATGTACATTATATATATATATATATACACACTGATTAATGTCAACTCTTGATGAATTTAACTTTTCGTAAATTTAAAGCATCCCGCGCGGGCGTCGGACCTGGCTGAAACCATGTTTCAAAGGCGCTGGCCTCGTCCACCAGAGCCCCTCCCTTGGAAGAAAAACCTTGCCAAAAGCACCCGATTAATGGCAACCTTCTGCCCCAAGCATCTCCAAAAAACAATTTGCCTGCAGACTTAAAAGGGGTTCAGGGTTAGGGTGTTGAGTTTAGAGGTTTAGGGTTTGGGGGCAGGTTGGGGTCCAGGGTTTAGGGATCAGGGTTGAGGGGGAGGTTAGGACAGTCTCTGCAAGGCATGTCAACAGTAAGGGAAAGCCTCTACATGATTTGTGTTTCTCTGTTGACTGCCTCTTCAAGTTTCAGGTTTTGGGTTGAGGGTTGAGGGTCCACAGGGTTTAGGGGGGTGGAACGGCTTTGAAGGGTGTAGGGTGGACTGAAGATATTCCAAAGGTGGCCATGCAAGAAATTTTAAATGAAGGGCCTATGTAAAACACTCAGTTTTTCAAGCCTGCAAAGGCCTAGCCCAGGCAACAAGGCAACCCCCCAGAAAATTTCCGGCCGCCGCAGAACAATCGTGTTTTGTAATTGCTTCTGTTTGACTGTTGAGGGTTTCGGCCTTAAGCCGGATCCTTAAACGATTTTTAAGGCTTCGGCCCTAAAACATACGGCACCTGAGGAAAATCCAGCCGGCCGCCGGAGACAGCGATTCCAGTACTAAAGTAACCACAGCACGAAAATCCAGCCGGCCGCCGGAGACGGCGGTTCCATGACGGGCATGCAAATTCGTGGCTTGCCCAAGGCAACGCCGCTCCGTTACAACTTATGCTCATGCTTTCCCCCAATGTCTGGCGATTTCCACAAACCGACGTTACGACTTCAGTTGTCGACTAGTTTTGGGTGGCAAGCCCGAAAACCGCCAAATTGACTTTTTGGAGGGGGGATGCATCAGGCCACCAGCCTTGCAAGGGGGGGGGGGGGGGGTTAATGAA